TCTAAAACCGTTATAACATGATTATAATTCCTTATACAGTATTATGTGTATCAAAGCCCTATACATTATATGGGGCTTTGATGTGCACTATTGGCTTACCATTCTGGTGTTCGAGTCTTGTTTAACTTAAAACATTATCTTTACTGTACAAAGTTGTGTATGTATATCAGAAGACGCATTTACAGACGGGGGTAAAATTTGTGTAATAAGTGGTGGTTGAAACCGCACAGACTAGACGTGTATTGTGCTAGTTACCAGTTGAATTACCTGAATACAGTTTGAACTAAGGTCTTGATGTACTCGGGTGTACAATACTCGACGACACAGAAACTGATCAAATTATTGTAAGTGTAACGTACCTTGATTAAGAAAAATTGTTTCAGTGTACAATTTCCTCTCTGGTTGATGATTATTTTCAACATGATAATAATAAAACACAGCCAAGTCAAATGATTTAACTCCTTCCAGGTTATTGACAGGTGTTTTAATCCACCATTCACTTGTCACTGTAAGTGTAATTAATATATCAAAACAATAGGCTAAAGTGCACAGGGTAAAAATCTAGACTGTTTATGATCATTTGGACACTATCTGCTGTTGGGCTAATTTAACTTTCGACTTGCGGCAGTTAAGGCTTTTAATCATTTAGCATTTACACAGCGGTCTTAACAATCTAACAATTGAAAAAGACATTTACTTTGATCCAGTGGACTTGCAATTCGTTATCACCTTTGTTTTTTTTAATTTTGTTATTTTTTTGCATTTTATTTGCGACAAATTTAAATCATATTATCCGTATAATCATAGCTTAACACAGGAACTGCAGAAATACTGACACTGTATCTAATGAAAATTTCTTAATGCAAAATGTTTCAAAGTTCTTGTCTGATCACTCACCCTTATTAAAATTGGCAACAAGATTATGGAGCTGGAATGGTTTCAAAATGGTCACTTGTATGTCTACTGACTGGACATTGATTTCGTCTACAACATAAACAAAATATTATATGACATGGTACCAATACTTGATCACGAGATTGTGGGAGTCTAAATTACAAATTGCAATTAACCACTACCAATGGTATATACAGTCCCATACGCGATATTGTCCAAACATTTAAAACGACAGACCTCAAGTAAAAACATAACAAGGCTGGGTTTCTTTAAAAAATTCATATAACTTTGCCGAAGTCTATTTCTCTAGTTCATTATGGCATGTTAAAATTTCATATTTCTTATGAGGCTTCTGCATAGAAATATTTTCAACAGAATGTTCCTGAAGTCTTTTAGAAATCCTGGATCATTAGTGATGGAATTTTTACCCATTGTACTGCATCTGAGCTACCAGCTGTGTATCTCTTACATCCAAGAGAAAATATAGACAATGTTGCGCTTCAACATAAAAGTTTCTATATATGAGTTCATACAGTCAGAATGCTCCTAAAGAGTCCTTAACATGGGCATATACCTAAGTACTACCTATCCGCCGTTGAAAAAGTAAGCAAAAGTAAGTAAGAGTATAACCTCTCTGTCTTAAAAATGTCTGAAAATAATATTTATTCCTATAATTTACAACCCGTATCTATAAACTCGTGATTTTCTGGTGACAAAAATGTTAAAATTCTAACCTTGAACATAAACTGAGATGCTACCATCCTTTTCTATAGTAACTCTGGGTTTAATGGTAGGGTTTAAGGTTGAGGTGGAGAACACCAAGACTGGCAACAGACACAATAACGGTAGTAGTACCATGATGTCTTCTGTATCGCCGAATGTCTTATCTATGCCACGTTCAGTACATAAAGAGTTCAGATAAGCTTATCTTTGCTGTTATCTCAATGAAAAACTCCTGTTTTGAAATGATTAGGCGTATGTCTAACTGTGTTACAAAAGTAATATTTATAGCAGTTAGCACAGTTGACTGATTTAAACACCAAGCCCGAAAATGTGATACATGGTCTTTTATTATTAGATTTTAACAAAAACATACAGTTTGATTAGCTGATCGTCGTCGATAACGGCTACATTTGATTTATTTTTCAGAAATACCCTCCGTGACCAAATACAATTTTAAAACGTTCCTTCCCTTGAAATATTGAAATTGAACAATTTGATTCGCAGTTCATAACAACTTCGGTGACACTTCCGGAACGCTCGATGCTACTCCGCGACTGGATGTATCAACCTCACAGCTTTTTCCACAAAGCTTTTATTGTGTATTTGGTATTCTAATTGCATGTCTACATTTGAGGTCTATGATAATATCGTATTGTTATTTTTGTTCGGTGTTACTGTTATGGATATGAAAAGCCATTATCAACAACACAATAAATTGTTTTCTATTAATCAAAGTTTGGTTGCTACAAACTCTATAAATGTACAGCAAACTTTATTCTACACAGTGATAAGAAATAAGGGGAAAAAGACATTTACGGATAACATGATATTTTATTTGTGTAAACAAATGTAATAAATTCGATCAAATATTTATAAATTCTAATATGTGAATAAAATCAGATTTTTCGATTTTTCCGCCGATTTCTTCGTTTTCTATGCTCTAGGGCCATTTCTTTCTATTACCCCTTTCATGGTCTTTGGTCGATTGCATTAATTACTCCCCTTCCCTCTATAAATCTTTATTATTTCACGAATTGTACCCTACCCAAATCTTATGAAAAGCCCATTGAGGTTAATTACCCCCTAGGTTGAAACCCCTGATCTAGGGGAATGGTATTGCAGAAAATAAATACTTTACTTATTATTTAGTTATATTTAATTGTATCGAACCATTTAACATATTTGACTTTCATGGCCACATCATCACCATGCCAACTATGTTGCCATTTATTACGATTATTCCAGAAGTTGCTCATGGCGGTTGAAGGTGAGTTATCGTCAGGGAAGTATACTCTATTTCCTTCTATAGGTAATATACGCCCATTGGCAGCTTTGATTTTGAATAAAAATATTTAGCAGTACAGTAACAATCACCGGTATGAAATGTTCAACCTTAAGTCATACATTTCTTTTGAACTCTTTAGGGCGATACTGAATGATATTGGGTTCATCCCTGGGTGATTACGAACATTCACTCCAAGTTTCTTTAAAATCCGCCAAGAATTGTCCCTTCTAGAATGTTTACAAGCTAAAATTTGAAAGCGTTTTCAAGAACAAGGGCAATAACTCATACTAACTATTTTTCGATTTTTCTGATTTTCAATAGGGTTTATCCTTGGTTGATATCAAACACTCATGCCAAGTTTCATCAAAATCCATCAAGAATTGTGCCTTCTAGAGTGTTTACGAGCTAAAACTTTAACGCGTTCTCAAGAACAAGGGCAGTAACTCATACTAAATATTTTTGATTCTTCTGACTTTCAATAGGGTTCATCCTTGGGTGATTACGAACACTCATGCCAAGTTTCGTTAAAATCCATTAAGAATTGTCCCTTCTAGGTAGGAGCGTAGATTTAAAATTGCCGAAATATTTAATATATAAGCCCCGCAGAAGGTTAAAACAGTCCCTTATGCAATATTTTACAGGCATTAAAATATGGGAAAAGCTTCAAGTGAAAACATGACAAAACATGGCTAGGTTTCTCGTCTCTTTAAAATCATTTACATTTTGCCGAAATAGGTTTCTCTTGAAAATTATGGCTTAATGTTGCTTCTGTATTAACGACTTAACAAAGATTCAACGGAATGTTTTTGAATTGCCAAATAACAAAATAAAGGTCCTTATCTATAATTTTGCGGTCATTGTGTGATATTAAGCTTTATAGTCGCCTATAGACCAAACGCAATCGCAACCCAAAAGTTTACATAAAGGTGATCTTTTAGAGATGCTGGATCATTAAAGATGGAAATGTAAGCGCATTTTGCTCATTACAATGAACCTACTGAGCTACCACCTGTCTTTCTCTTACTGTAACTGCTGTCAAACAATCAGTTATGTCCCTTTGTTGCATAAGCTTAAGGTCATTTAGGAGGCACTGATTTTGGTAATAAGGAAAGACTAACAGAGTCTGCAAATTAGGCTTCACTTTGCAAAAGAAAACAACTACGAATGAGCTTGGTCTAAATTTCAAGGAAAAGAATTGTTTATGATATAAAGCTCCATTAATCGGGGAAAAGTTTTTACTAGTTTGATTGGTATTATGTAAAGATTGAAGTCTGTTAATATATCCAATAATTTTTATAACTGGCTGATTAATGAAGACTCCGTCAACTCCGTCACTTACAAACCCCGAACAGCCTAGCTGTTACATTTACATCATAGATAAAAATTTAAAATTCTTACAGGCATAATGCGTGAAGGATCTGGTCAAATTCAGAGCTCTGGTGAAAAACTGTGATAAACATTGGCATATACCGAGGTGCTAATCCTTCCAGTCACAGGAAATCATATCTATTCTTAAAAACGACAACCCACTCCAAAATTAATTTCTTGCGTTAAAAATGTTAAAATACTTAGCGTGGACATACACTGAAATGCTACCATCCTTTGCTATATTTATTCTGGGTTTGATGATAGGTTTTTAGGTTGAGGTGGATTATCAAGACTGGTAGCAATACCATTATGTCTTCTGTATCGCCGAATGTTTATCAAATAAGCTTCTGCTGGCTTTTATATCTTGAGGATATTATACTATCTATCAACTCCTATATTTCGATTATCAGATGTGTGACAGACTGTGATACAACATGAATGTGAATTATGGCAAAAATCCAATTTTAAATGATTTAATGGATTATAAGATGTTCATCTGTTGCATTTATATAACACACCAACCAAGGTAAAAGGACTTTGCTTGATTGTTTTCCAGGTCATTGTTCCACTATATAGCTTTACATTTTTTGAATTACATCACAACAATAGAATGGAACATTTATCGACCAAATTTCAATGAGAATATTTTTCATTATATTATGAAATTCTAATTTTTCAATTCAAATTACTGATCTAGAACAGGATTTTCAATAAGAAAAAAAACCCTTTAGACGAAATAAAAAATATTTATTTAATATGTTAATTGTACCGGACCATTTTCACATATTTGACTTTCATGGCCACGTCATCACCATGCCAAGTTTGTTGCCATTTACTACGACTATTCCAGAAATCCTTCATGACAGTTGATGTGCTATCTTTCCATGGTTTACCATCAGCTCCATTGTTCCAGCCGTCTGGGAAAAATCCCCCAGTTCCTCCCACCGCTACGTTTAAAATCAGGTCAAACTACAAAAATGGACCAAAAGGCTTTATACTTTATACAAGGTTTACACTATGTTCCCGGCGGCTACGGTAATCACTGTTCAGGCCATTGTGGGGAAAATGGGATGAATGCTAGACAACACGCGGGGAAAGGAAAACGTGACAGACCGTATATGCCGTGGATGCTAGCCAGAATTCAAAATTAACACCATTACTGTCATCAGTCTAATGAAATGATATGATCAATAATCACTGGAATCTGATTACTTATATTTATATAACCTTCATCAGTCCAATGATATCTTATGTGTCAGAATCATTTAAACCTGGTGACTTACCTTACCGTCAAAAGGAGCATCAGGACCACCATTAGCCCAAAGATTATTACCAGAGAAATTTTCATGTTTCCAGTAACCTTCTGGAGGAGTTTTCCAGTCTAATACAGGATTACCATCAACAGTACATCTTCAAAAATAGATAGGAAATTTATTTAGCCAATGTCATCGTATTGTCTACTTCTCTGGCAAACTTTTTAGCTGGCAACTATAAGTATTCGCTTTTGACTTCCTGGTTTCATTCTTCAGCAGGATGTTATCAACCATTTGAACATTTCTTGGCTACAGTAATGAATTATTTCCAAAACTTTACTCATCCTACCAAGGCACATCTCTTTGACTGCGTTTGTCAACTGAATATCCCGTAAACACCATTAGATAGTGTTTTCCAATATACAGGCACTTACTTTATACGATCTTGTGTCCAATCAACGGCATATAAATGATAATCATCGGCCCAGGTACTTCCATCAGTTTTTAATCTGAAGTAAAATGTGGTTTTACATGCTACTTTTCAAAGGTTCGGAACACCACGCAGTGTTGACACTTGGAATTGAACTTGAAAATTATTATCATCTATTTCTAAGTTAATTTTGTTTGCACGATAACACGATAATAAATTGTTATTCATATGAACAAAACCTTTTGGTATGTCCCGCGAAAGCAATGCCCTCTACAATGTTTTGATTCTATATGCAAGAGTTAAAAATAGTTACTTCCAATGACCATGTTGTCTATGATTGGGTCGACCATTGCCAAAATGTATGGTAGACAATGTTTGTTTAACACCTTGTATGTGGCCTTGGCCATCTTTCAGGTTTAAGTTACCTGTAAAGAAAGAAAGTAATTCGCAAGTCGCAACCATTTATTTGTAAACCAGCAGAGACAGAGGCACATACAATTCATAGAGATTTGAAGCATGAATTATACAATTTTCGATTCGTACTGTATGATAATAACTCTTTTGCTAACATCGTCTAAAACTGGTCAAAAAGCACAAAAAAAAAGAAATTAGGTAGTTATAAATATTGTCATCATCCACTCACCTCGTGATTCCATTATGTCAATTTCACCAGAATTCGGCCAACTACCATATACACCAGTTCCACCAGGTGGCAACAACCAAATAGCTTTGATAAAAATGTAATAAAATTTATGAATGTGTTTCACTGCAGTTTCACTTACTGAATAGTTAATGAGCCTTAGCAGGATACTCTATTGACAACTGACCGAGAATCAGACAGTACCATATATTGCGTATAAAATTACCTGGGAAGGGTATTGTATTTCCGATGGTAGAAGCAGTTGCAGGTCACTGTTTTGGGATTTTGACAGCTACAGTTACTTTGTTGTTGAAGACAAAACGGGCCAGTAAGATTAAGTAATGCTTTTTCTCCGGGTTTGCTATCACTTATTACTAAATATTCGCATTATCTTTCATAAGAAAGGCATAATTTGCATGGACCGTAATTGAAAGTTGTATAATTCTTTCTCATACCTGGCCAAATCCAATCACCAACTGGTATTTTAGCTAATACTTCAACTCTTCCGTGGCTTATTTTAACTTTAGAAATGATCTTTGATGACATGATAGGTGGTATATTAGATCCTGTTCTATAACATCCGTTATTAAAACTAGCTGTACATGATCCCCATTGTCCTACAAGTATACCAGTGAGAAAAGGCATCAACTCATAAATTTCATTAAATGGACTGACAATTTACAAGTTAGTAAAGTTTAAATATATATATTTGCTTTATTTAATATATATCGTTGATTCTCACAAGTTGGATCAAAATTAAAGATGCGAGGCACGAGGCACTACACACAATATATGAAACTAGGCGAAGAAATATCATTCGATTTATTTCTATTCATTTGACATACCTTTGACGTCTAATTTACCATTGTTTAGGAAATTTTCACCAAATCTGTCAGCAGTAAATGTCTACATACAAATAGAAGTCATTGTTAAAAGTAAAGTGAAGGAAAGTTTCAGAACAACCGAAGTTTCTTGATATCATGTATCTTATGTTGACAATAACCGAAGATTATTAAAACAATTACCCATGAAGTACCACTGTTTTATTTCTTTCCAACTTCGGACAACTTTAATTATTAATTACTTACCGGCTTCAAGTGTAGAATGCCATTTTTCAAAAACGTATTGGTAGCTTCTGGCGTGTAAACTTGAAACTCGCCGTTCTGAATAAGGATAAAATTTTAAAAGTTTTGTTTTGTATACGTGATTAAAAAATTTAAAGGTTAACAAAGGGGAAAAGTCCAATCACGAGGTTACTTTGGGCGTCCAAATGCATTTGGTTTGAAATTTATTGTGATAGCGCTGCCCTAATCTGGTCAAGATCTAATTGAAATACATGTAGGCCTACTATAAATATTCTATGGGAAAACAAAAAGGTGCAATTAGAATGTATACTTGGAATCGCTGATGCACTCAGAAAACCTCTTTTGAATTACTAAAAACAGTATTGTTAGATTGTATATTAGGCCTACGATGAGTACTTACCCCACCACCACTAGCGGTAACTTCATACATCCAGTTATTCATGTTTAATTGATTACCATTAAAATCATCAAATAAAACAGTTACTTCTCTTTTACTCATCTGATGAGGTTGTGGTTGTAGACCAGTCTCTAAAACCGTTATAACATGATTAGTCTTCATTAGCTTGGAGACTTACTGATGCGCTGATCAGTTGTGAAAACAGGAGGCCAATAGTTCTCAAAGCGCGTTGCTCTTCTTTTGTCAAAATATGGGCAAAAAGTAGATAACGATCAAATTATTGTATGAGTAACGTACCTTGATGGTTGTTAAATATTCAAATAAATCTATTCACACACATCTGAGACGCATCCCTAGAGCGCTTGATTTCATACATAAGAAAATAGATAGTTATTAAATATATACAAACCAGGTTAATAATATTGTTTCCGTTATAATTTAAATTATCTTAAGAGTTCGGATTGAAATTGTATATTTGAATGGTACCGACTAGGCAGCTATCAGGTTATTGTAAGAGTAACGTACCTTGATTAAGAAAAATTGTTTCGGTGTAAATTTTCCTCTGAGGTGGATGATTATTTTCAACATGATAATAATAAAACACAGCCAATTCAAATGATTTAACTCCTTCCAGGTTATTGACAGGTGTTTTAATCCACCATTCACTAGTTACTGTAGACAATACAATATATTTTGTAGGTTGGTTAAGGTAATGCCAAATCTTTGCAAATAAAATTGAAAATAAAATGGTAGGCTAATGCATTTGGGGCGACTATTACCCTTCAAGGAAATATTTTATGTGATGTACTCCATAAATACCCATGACGTGTGCGGCCTTTTTATTCAAGAGTCAGAAAACGCTCTAGTCCGAGCAAACTACAGTAAAACTATTTGAAGTTAACTTTTACCTTTGTTGAAATTGGCCACCAAATTATGAAGCTGGAATGGTTTAAAAAAAGTCACTTTTATGTCCATTGACTGGACATTGACCTCATCTAAAATAGAAACAAAAATATTATGGCCTTATCTGATCTTAACTTCAATGAGGTAGACATGTAGTGAGTCATCAACAAACAAAGGAACACCAGAATATCCCAGAGAGAAAAGAGATTGATAAACTTCACAGGGACAAGACTTATCAAAGTGAAAGAATATCTTAATTCAGTATGAAGGTTTCTAAATGAACGTTCAAATGAACGTTCATACCATCACGATTAATCTTGAATTTCTAACAAAAACAATTGTTGAAATTCTTACCGTGGACATAAACTGAGATGCTACCCTCCTTTGCTATATTAACTCTGGGTTTAATGGTAGGGGTTGAGGTGGAGAACACCAAGACTGGCAACAGACACAATAACGGTAGTAGTACCATGATGTCTTCTGTATGGTATTATGCCTCATCTCTTCCATGTTCAGTTAATATAGGTTTGAGATAGGCTTATCATCGCTCTTATCAGGATCTGACAATGCAATCTAATAATTTTTTTTATGGCATGGCATGACTAATCACAATTGGAATTTTTTTTTAAATGTTTATTTAGTATGTCATGCTTTTACAGGTCAATCAAACTACAGATGGATCAGAATGTTCCGAAGGCATTCTTTAACATTATTCAGCTTTTAACTCTTTGGTCAAAGTAAAACATTTATCTCCACTAAAAATATATATCCAGATGTCTGTCATTGTGTATAAAATTGACCAATGTTTTTATTTCTGGGCAAGCTGATAGTTTATCAGTCTAAAATCATAAATTGTTCTGTAAAAGTGTCTCTTATGGAAATTATATTATGGTGAACAAATTGAGCAAATTGAACTCTTATCTTTTAAAAATGCAAAATCATTATATAATTCATATCATTGACAAAACTTGGCTGTTGGCATATGTTTTAGTTCATTTTGGTGTAGAATAAAAACTCGTAACATAAAAAAGTAACATTTTTATTTTACAGATGTTTGTTCTAATTATACAATGTTTATCGACAAGTAGATCTTCCGTTCACGCCACGTCTGCAAGTACCTCTACAACATCTACGTGATCCGTTTCGGGTACATCTGTTACCATAGGAAACGCAATTCTGAATTGAAGAAGAAATATACAATACAATGCAATACAATACAATATATTTTTATCCAATACGTAAAGGCTATGCCTGCTGTACACAAATACACATCACTTTTTCATAACCAGAAAATAATAAGAAAAAAAACAGTTGAAAAGTATTTGTCAAAATACAAGACATATTATTTTGTCTATATTACATCAGTCGTAAATGACCTGGAAGGAAATCATTCGATTTTTTTTTTCGTTTCGTTGAATTATTGTTTGAAATTTAAATTCTCGACGACCGGAAAAACTATGCCACCTCCTCAAAGGCTAGATCATATGTATAAATAATATCTTACGCCGTTTCCTCCACTATTTCTGACACAAACTCGTCTATTTCCCATTTTTTCACAATTATATCCCTTACAACATCTGTATTGACCGGAACATCTTTCCATATTTTCCATACATAACTGAAATACGGGACTTTTTTAAACAAGGGGCGTGCGACGCTTTTCCGTGCGGAGCAATGATCTCTGGATTGTAGAATACATTTGAATCACGTTCGTCTATCAGCTTTGATGTCGATGGCCTGTGATGTAAGTTAACTCAATAAAGTTTAAAGAGTAAAGAAAGTTTAGATGAACAGAAAATCAGACCAATTAGAGGACTGAAAATCTTCAAATGGCTTATTAAATTACTTACAGTGGCTTGGGGAGAAATTTGTCTCTCGTCAAAAGCATTTACAGCTACAACGATCATAACAACAAGTAACATAACAATAGTATTGGTATTCATTTTTATGGTTTTATCTTTCTCTGAAATGTAATGGGGCTTGGTTTGGTTCAATATATAATTTGGAATTAAGTAGTTTTGTCTATAGTCGGTTGTCGATTTCAATTAATTGAAAGAAATAGTTTCAATTCTACCTCCTTTTGAATCTTCAACTTTACTTTTTTGGCATTTTAGGACGACAGATATGTAGAATGACATGATGAAAAAAAAATCACGGTTAGTGACTTTAGCACATCCCAAGTCGTGGTATTTTTATGTGTCCAACACACAGTTCAGTGTCTCTTGAACACGAATTAAATGACATTGCCAACGTCTGGCCTTTAGCACATTCAAAGTCGTGGTATTTTTAGGTGTCCAACACCTGGCTTTTTAGGACGACAGATATATAGAATGACATGATGAAAAAAAATCACGGTTAGTGACTTTAGCACATCCCAAGTCGTGGTATTTTTATGTGTCCAACACACAGTTCAGTGTCTCTTGAAAACGAATATATGACAATTGCCAACCCCTGGCCTATTCCTCTATTAGGAGAAACTTTAAATACATCTCTATACCGGTGCAGGCGCCTCTACTCGCAAACCATTAATAATGAGTGTTCCAAAGGAGATGTAATGATGATACCTTACCTTTGCACTATAACAAATGGAAATGGTTGAATGCAATGCCCTTTCTATATTTATAGTATTTTTACCATGACAGATCGGAGTTCTAACAATATGGTGTCAGGTTAATCTTTTGGTATCTTCAGATAGAAATCAGTAATTTGATACTTAAATTAATAAATTGATTGACTGTTAATTTCCGGTGTCGGCCTTTCAAACTTTATAATCTGTTCTGTGACGCAACTTAAATAGGACAATAGTCCATGGTATTAAAACTGTATTTTAATTATGTTCTTGTCAATTCAAAACGTCCGTAAGAGTCTATGATATACCGATCTCTGGTAATTTGCAGTAATCACTGAAATTTAAATCCGATGCTCGTAAGTCATTTGGGAAATGAAACGGAGTTTTACGCCATACTTTTCCGCTTGGGCTAAAAACGACCGGCATATTGAGGATAGGATTTACTCTTTTTCTATTTTAAACTGTCGTGAGATCTTTGACGTGAATAAACTGTATCATACGGAGCCTCGATTTTAGTAACCTTTCCATTCTTCTCCATTTTTTATTGATTCTTGAAATATTTTAAAAATGAATTTACGGATTATTGGCTCTATACTAAACCATTAAAATTTTGGTTAGATGGGTTCAGTTATGTACAAGCTACTGTCGTTGATATCTACCAGTCTGTCCAGGCTGAATGTATGACTGTATGTATACTAAGGCAGTTTTGCCTGTGCTTTGCAATGATGCAGTATCGGTAACCTTTAGTGGTCTATAATATATTTTTCGTCTATTTTCAGAAAATATAACTGAAAATGAAAGTCTCAGATGTTGTTTTAGCTATGTTTTTTGCTGTCGCCATGGCTGATTTTTTTTATCCTTTCGAATCATTTGAAGATATGTTTGCCTGGGATGATAGACGAAACACCAATGGAAGAGCCACAGGAAGTAAAGGGTTAAGTCGTACGTAAACCTTACATCCAGCTGACTACGGCAACACTCTGAGTAATAATTTTATACCTAAACGCTATCAGCAAATATAGCTTTAAAATTTTAAGTCAGAGTTCATTTCAGTTCAAACAGTTTAATTACATCATTCCATTGCATGAACAATTTATCGAATATCAATGAAAATGTTTTTTGAAAAGGTCATAATCGCAAACTGTTTGAATTTAATATCTCAGCTATTCAAATAACTGATCTACGACAGATGTTCAAGTTATTTCCGCATAACTCAATGTAAAAAAAGAAAAAAAACCTAAAAACCTAAAAAATTTATTTCGATAATTTAATTGTATTGCACCATTTTAACGTATTTGACTTTCATTGCCACGTCATCACCATGCCAAGTATGTTGCCATTTACTACGATTATTCCAGAAGTCACTCATGGCTGTTGATGAGCTATCTTTCCACGGTTTACCATCAGCTCCATTGTTCCAGCCGTCAGGGAAATATCCCCCGGTTCCTCCCACGGCTACATTTAAAATCAGGTCATACTATAAATAATGAATTAAAATTCTTTATACTATAGCAAAAACCGTAATCATGTAGCAATGACCTTCGACTGATTTGTTCAGAGGTATGCATTGGTACCCTAAACTTCATACAAAGATATTGGCTTATATTATATGTGGCTGCTTATCGTTTTACTAAGTCCACTGTGTTTCAGTTTCAGTTTCAGTTTAAAGAGAACCGAATCACACAATGGTATCACACGGTCCATAACAGTAAGGGTACGGTTACTGGGCGTACAAAAGAACATCAAGACACCATTAGTCACTATAATGACAACAAACACACTAATCTTGTGACCGTCAAAATGATCCCGACACCAGTCTTATTATATGATATCATGTTGAATAATCACTGGAATCAGATTATTTAACAATTGGTCAATAGGAGCATCCAATCATTTGCAGCTGGTGACTTACCTGACCGTCAAAAGGGGCATCAGGACCACCTTTAGCCCAAAGATTATTACCAGAGAAATTTTCATGTTTCCAGTAACCTTCTGGAGGAGTTTTCCAGTCTAATACAGGATTACCATCAACAGTACATCTTCAAAAATAGATAGGAAATTTATTTAGCCAATGTCATTGTATTGTTTACTTCTCTGGCAAACTTTTTAGTTGGCAACTACAAGTATTCGCTTTTCACGAAATAACGTTTACAGCAGGATCAACCTTTTCGAGATTTTTCGACTTCAGTAATGAATCATTTCCAAAACTCATCCCACCAAGACTCTTTGACTGCGTTTATCAACTGAGTATTCCCTTCAAAGAACCATTAGTTGATTTTGTTTCAAAATACAGGTACTTACTTGATATGATCTTGTGTCCAATCAACGGCATATAAATGATAATCATCGGCCCAGGTACTTCCATCAGTTTTTAATCTAAAATAAAAAGGGTTTTACATCGTAAAACCAAGCAATGTGTAATGCCACAACAGGACACGTAATGACAACCTAGATTTATTATCATATGTTTCTACTTTATGTCTGTTTTCACGATTAAATGATAGCATTGATATTCATTTGGAAGAAAACTTTGAAAAAACATCCAATTTATCATGCGGCCAAGGAAGCACAGTGTTTCAGTATGAATGCATTGCCTTTTACAATATTTGTTGGTTGCTATATGCAAGAGCTAAAAATACTTACTTCCAATGACCATGTTGTCTATGATTGGGTCGGCCATTGCCAAAATGTATGGTAGACAATGTTTGTTTTACACCTTGTATGTGGCCTTGGACATCTTTCAGGTTTTTGTTGCCTACGAAGAAAAAAATAAATACGTAAGTCACAAGCATCTAAATCTAAGTTGATCAGATGGAATAGATGGATTAGATAGCAGTATTGTTCAACCAAAATATCGCAAATTATGTCAACGTCTAACCATTTGTGTCTGAGTCGTTAATCTTGCGTTCTTATAGATTACACACAATAACCTATATTACATTTTCACAGTAAATCCATGTGGATATCTACACCTATATATACACGACAACATTTATTTTGAAAAAGAGGAGACAGCATCAACTCACCTCGCGATTCCATGATGTCAATTTCTCCAGAATTGGGCCATCCACCATAAACACCAGTTCCACCATCAGGTGGCAACAACCAAATGCCTGAAATGAAAGTAGATTTGATCAATAATGATCCGTGTAATAATTTCACCCATTGAATTAACGAGATTTAGACCGTTCAGTTTCGCAAAACGAAACTGTAATTGTCATTTTCACTGGCGGAAGGAGTTGCGGCTCACCGTTTCCTGTTGCACACAAAGTAATTTGGTCTCAAAGACCTTCTGTGACACTGTTATTGATGATAAAAACAGTACAATCCACTGATGTAAGGAAATCTCGGACTTGCTATCACCTTTTTCTAACAAATTTTCTACGCAATTAGAAGCCGTCTCTTACCTGGCCAAATCCAATCACCAACTGGTATTTTAGCTAATACTTCAACTCTTCCGTGGCTTATTTTAACTTTAGAAATGATCTTTGATGACATGATAGGTGGTATATTAGATCCTGTTCTATAACATCCGTTATTAAAACTAGCTGTACACGATCCCCATTGTCCTACAAGTATACCAGTGAGAAAAGGCATCAACTCATTGATTTCATTAACTGAACTGACAATTTACCGGCGAGAAAAAAAAACGTTTTGCTTTATTTATTATTTGATTCCAACAAATTGGATCTGCTAGGCACAAGACTGGATCTGAACCAGCATCCTATGTTATGATTTTTCTGCACTATACACAATATACGAAACTAATGATGAACCATCATTCGATATATTTTTGTCAATCAGATTATATATCATTTTAAATAATACCTTTGACGTCTAATTTACCATTTTGTAGGAAATTTTCACCAAATCTGTCAGCAGTAAATGTCTACATTAAAAATAAAAGAGCATGACAAAAACAAAATAATTAGAGCTCCGAGAAATGTAATGTACTGTTCTGCACAAAAGCATAGCCTTAAATTGGAGATTCGTCATGAAGTTTGCCAATGAAGTAACCACTCATTACTCATTTTGTTTCAATTTTAGTTAACCTTGGCGTTTAACTTACTTACCGGTTTCAAGTGTAGAATGCCATTTTTCAAATACGTATTGGTAGCTTCTGGCGTGTAAACTTCAAACTCGCCGTTCTTAATAAGGATAAAATGTAAAATTCTCGTTTGTTTACACGTTATAAAAAGTACACAAAAATGGACACTCACTAAGATATTTTGGATATTAAAAAGGCGTCTGGTTATTAAAAGTATTTGCGATAGTTATGCCGTAATCTGAAACTTTAAACGGGAAAACAAAAAGACACCATGAGATGATATATTAAGAATCTCCCGATGCAGCAAGAAAACCTCATTTGAATTGCTTGAAACATTATCATTTGATTGTTGAAGTATATTAGACCTACGACCAATACTTACCCCACCACCACTAGCAGTAACTTCATACATCCAGTTATTCATGTTTAATTGATTACCATTAAAATCATCAAATAAAACAGTTACTTCTCTTTTACTTATCTGATGAGGTTGTGGTTGTAGACCAGTCTCTGAAACTAATATATCAATATACATGAACCAATATAGATTAAAAAAAAGAACAATTCACTGGCAAACGTTCTCAAAGCACGTCATCATGCGTTTCCTATCTTTGCTCAAATCGGAAACCAAAGCAGGTATTTCTTTAATATTAATAACAAAGATTTATGTCATCTTAGATGAACACTTAATTGTACACTTCCCGAATAAAGGTCGCCCATCTAGGAAATCACAGTATGGTTGTTAAATATTCATGTAAATCTATTCACACACATCCGATAAGCAGGTTAATAATATTGTTTCCGTTATAATTTAAATTATCTTAAGAGTTCGGATTGGAATTGTATGTACCGACTAGGCAGCTATCAGGTTATTGTAAGACGTACCTTGATTAACAAGAATTGTTTCAGTGTACATTTTCCTCTGAGGTTGATGATTATTTTCAACATGATAATAATAAAACACAGCCAATTCAAATGATTCGACATCTTCCAGGTTATTGACAGGTGTTTTAATCCACCATTCACTTGTCACTGTCATTAATAAAGTAATTTCTGTATTAATTCAATTTTAAAGGAGGCTTAATTCAGACTAGATCAAGCTAAATATGTGCAAAATATATTGAATATACGTTGTACATGTATGACTTTTCTACCAAAGATACATTTACATTTTGCCGCCGATTTAAGGCCTGTTAGAATGGAAGCCACATTTTTATAAGACACGGTCCTGCAGACGAACGGAAGCATAGACATCCCACACTATAGCAAAGTGTCAATTACATTAATACAGTAACAACCTATCTAAAAGACATTAAAGCGGTCAGAAGCGGAACTCACCCTTATTAAAATCGGCAACAAAATTATAAAGTTGGAATGGTTTCAAAATAGTCACCTGTATGTCTACTGACTGGACACTGACTTCATCTACAATACAAAAGTAAATAGTGTACATTAAATGCACGTTGTATTTTAAGCATCACATTTTTGTCCTGTATCAGTGCCTACTTTTGAACAGTTACAAGTCAATTTTCAACCGTTCTATTTGATGGCTTTTTACTGTGGCGAGGTCACAATCTATGATACTAAACCTTAAGTCGCACTCATAACCATCTCTGTCAATGGCAAATATCAAGGAGGTAGACATGACATGGGACCACCAGAAGATGGAAAAGATTAACGATCAAAGTGATCGGGTGCAGAAAGAGGGTGTTGTTAGCATTTTGCACTACATCTGCCAAGTTAGTACCCCAACTTCACAGAGTCAAGACTCTTTAGTGTACAAGACAAATTGGATTCAGTATGATCGTTTCTAAATGAACGTTCATACTATCACGATAAATTTTCAATTTCTCGCAAAGACAAAACTTACTGTGGACGTAAACTGAAATGCTACCATCCTTTTCTATAGTAACTCTGGGTTTAATGGTAGGGTTTAAGGTTGAGGTGGAGAACACCAAGACTGGCAACAGACACAATAACGGTAGTAGTACCATGATGTCTTCTGTATGGTATTATGCCTCATCTCTGCCATGTTCAGTTAATATAGGTTTGAGATAGGCTTATCATCGCTCTTATCAGGATCTGACAATGCAATCTAATAATTTTTTTTGAATGATTAAGCGTTTTATGTGACAATCTGTTTGGCATGACATGACTAATCAAAATTGGAAGAGTGTTTCTTTAGAGTGTCATGTATTTACAGGTCAATGACACTACAGATGGACAAGGCTGTTCCTAGTCCGAAACATCTGACTGTCCCAGCCTCTGATAGATATTTTGATAGGTATCGGCTGGAGCCTACTTTTTCTGTCTCTACACCACCTACCCATCTTCATTAGCCCGCATGGTGCAGAAAAGTAGTACGTAAAACTCCATTCATTTGATTGCTTTTCATTTTCAATAACCGACAACCTTCAAAATAGCTATCAGAGTCTGGAATAGAGCCGTTCCCACTGCTTTCTTTTGACTTTCTTTGTCAATGTCAAACTTTGACCTACACCAAAAAATACTTTAATGGGATTGTCGCTGTGGAGACACGGAATGTTTTTCAATTGGAAATATCTGTCTTTTCCAAACTTTTGTTTTGATGCGTCTACATATATATACATAATATTACACACCAGGAGGACAATGTTCCTTTTTCTGGGTAGAACGATAGTTTATCAAAGACAAGTTTAAATCTTAAATTTTTCTATAAAGGTATCCCTAATGTCAGTTATATTATTGGTGAACTTTATGTTCTTATCTTTTGATAATGCCGAATCATTATATTAGTATTCATTATTATCATTGATAAAACTTGTCAATTGTTGGCATATGAGTGAGTTCATTTTGGTGTAGAATAAAAACTCTTATACAATTACAAATTTTATTTTACAGATAATATGTTTGTTCATGTTACTGTATACAATGTTTATCGACAAGTAGATCTTCCGTTCATGCCACGTCTGCAGGTACCTCTACAACATCTGCGTGATCCGTTTAGAGTACATCGGTCACCATAGGAAACGCAATTCTGAAATAAAGAAAACATATCATTATGTCAATAATGCGGCAATCATAAATAACATAAAAAGAAATACTTTCGAAAGAATTTTGTTGTGTTGAATTATTGTTTGAAATATAAATTCTCAACCGAGTAAAGTATACCACCTCTTCAAAGGCTAGATGTCGAACCAAAGATGTTAAGACTTTTAGCTCAAATCATATGTATAAACAATATCTTACGCCATTTCCTCCACTATTTCTGACACAAACTCGTCTATTTCCCATTTTTTCACAATTATATCCCTTACAACATCTGTATTGACCGGAACATCTTTCCATATTTTCCATACATAACTGAAATACAGGACTTTTTTTTATAATCTCAGCCATGATATTGTAAGACATCTACGGTATCAATCGTAGAACTACGACCATTAATAAGAAGGGGCGCGAGGTTTTGCGATGTGTTACAATGATCTGTGGATTGTAGAAGATATATGAATCAAATTCGTGCATGAGATTTCAGGGTGTGTTAAGTTAAGTTTAAGGGAAAGCTTTAAATGGTTTATTAATACTTACAGCGGCTTGGGGAGAAATTTGTCTCTCGTCATAAGCATTTACAGCTACAACGATCATAACAACAAGTAACATAACAATAGTATTGGTATTCATTTTTATGGTTTTTTTCTTTCTCTGAAATGAAACGGAGCTTGGTTTGGTTAATTTGGAGATATTCTTAGTAAGTTTAGCCATATATCGACATAAAAAAGTACTTAATAAACTAATAAGGAATTAAAGAAATGAACTTTTACGTTCCAGAAGTCTTCACTTTTTTGATGAAAACGTAACACGACATGCAGTGTGAAAGATGACCCTAGTGGGTATCGCTTGTAGAATATGTTACCCTAACAGACCACTAGCTACTTGTCTGTGATTGAAATTTTGTATCAATTTTGAATAGTCACGTTTGCTAGGTTCATTCCAAGGACTTTGGTGAGTCCCTTCGACCTTGTAAAAATTTCGAAGCTAGCTTCTGAACCCATGACAATAAACACCGCGGTTCCCCTTTATATTTCAATCCGATAGGGCAATGATATGTTCAAGTAAAGAATTGGTCACACCTTACCTTTGCACTGTAACAAATGGAAATAGTTGAATTGAGCCCTCTTTCTATATTTATAGTCTTCTCAACCCACACAGATCAGAGCTCTAAACAATATGGTGTCAGGGTAATGTCAGATAGAAATCAGTAATCTGATATTTGAATTTAAACATTGACTGACAGTTACTGTGCGGTGTCGACCTTCAATGAATATAATGATTCTATGACGCAACTTGAAATAGACATGATACTAGTCTATCAATCTGTGTAATCATTTTAATTGTGTTCTTGTGACGTTGCTTTATGACCCCCCCCCCCCCCTCCCCCTCCCCCTCCGAACACCAACATAATATAGAAATCTAAGTTTGTTCCAGCAAGGGCAACAGGCTGTAGGTAATGCAAAGAGGGAAATGAGCCAATTAATTTTCAAATTGATTGTGTCAGTAGTAGTTGCAAAACATATTCGCCCCAACTCTGGTCTTTGTGCCTATGAAAACTGTATTTTAATGGCCTTTTTAAACATATTTTATAGATGGTTATACATAAATCCAAATAAAGTTAGGAAGGGCGATATCAGTGATGCACAAGCTGCTGTCGTTGATATCTACCTCTCTGTCCAGACGTCAAGATCTGATCTGACATATGACTGAAAGTTTGACTATATAAACCATGTCAGACTAGTAATGCTCATCATCCTTTTCATCGAAACCAATACAACTGAATCGGTATGAATATATTACAACTTTACCTGTGCCTTCCAATGATGCAGTGCCGGTGTTCCTTGTGTGATTTTAATATATTTTTGTCTATTTTTCAGAAAATATATCCGAAAATGCAAGTCTTAGCTGTTGTTTTAGCTATCGGTTTTTTGGCCGTCACCATGGCTGATTTTGGATCCTTTGGATCTTTTGAATCCTTTGAAGATATGTTTGGTTGGGATGACAGAAGAAACGCCAATGGAAAAGCAACAGTAAGTATAGGGTTATGTCGCACGTTACCCTTACATCAAAGTCTGACAAATACTTTTATACTTCAATGCTTTCCGACTCGGCAAAAATGCATCCCAAAAGCATATCGGGATTTTCTATGATCATAAACTTATGTTATTCTCAACTATGGTAAAATTACTAATTACTATTTTTGTATAAATTAATAAACCGGGTAGAGTATAAGTACAATGTTAAAAATAAAAAGTTCTGTCCATTCCTCAAAACTTATATGATCGATAACTAAACTGTTCTTTATATATATATATATATATATATCAATAAAATTCATTATTGTAGATTTGTTTAGAAAGGAATGATAAATGTCAACTAGGTGGAAACTTCTCATGTTGTAAAGGATTAAGTTGTCAACAAAGTGGTATCGGTAGTCAAAGACGATGTGAAATATCCTCATCACAGGTAAGTCATTCAGCTGCCTCTATTGGACCAATTGTTTTAAACACAATCAGGTGTACTAATAACACTGAAACACTCGAAAATCAGTAAAGAATTAGAACCAATGCTCACCCTGGTCAGTGGTTCTTTTACTTTGCTGATTTTAAGAGGGTTTCGGAAAAAAACCGATAGGCCAGTGAGGTACACAATTAAAAATGACATTTTTAAATATACATTCCGTGTTACCTATTATTTTGTAACTGTGGTATTTGAAAACAGTTTTCGACATCCTACCTCCACAATCTTAATCTGAGTAATCTCCTGCATACCATATCTTACATTATTTCCTTTCAGGTGTGTGTTAGTCCTGGACAAACGTGTTCAAAGCTTCCTACTTCTCGAAAATGTTGTCAATTCAAGAGATGTGAGACTGTCATGGGAAGAAATATCTGTGTATAGAGAAATGTAATTTATATATTCTGAAATAAAATAATGTCTTCATAAAACGCACCCTTCTCTTCAACAAAGATTAAGCCATAAAAACGGCAGAATCTGAAAACAACTGGATTTGCTGGATCACTCGACCTGGGCGACCTGACGAGCGCCAGTAGCTCATATTCGACAGTCTAGAATTTATTGGACTAATTTCATGATAGTGATCGGTTGTGGCATGGTCGAAGTAGAAAGGGAGAAATGTGAAAAAGAATCATCGGAGAACACGTCCTTTTTGTAACCATATATACAATATCCCTTTGATACTAAGATGTAGGTATACGCCTTTTTGATATTGTACTCAAATGTGTAGTTTTCTTGGATTTTCCACTCTTAATGAATATTAAATTACGTTCATTGTAAACTTTAAAATATAATATAAAAAAAAACAAAGGTTTACATTAGATCCGAATTCCGCCTTGAACAAATTCACAAATTTCATAACATATTAAGTGTTAGTTCTAAATAAACAGTTTGATGCAAATTCCATAGAGTAAATATACATTTATTACATTTCATGCATCAAAGTTATATCGTCCCTTATCCGGGTTCATCCACTTTCTTCGCTTCAATGTGCCACTTGAAAATCCTGTCAGTCATTCCTCACAGACCTTATAAGATAAAAATAGCGTTTTAAGCTGATACTTGTGATTGAATGACTAATGGACGATCGGGTGACCGCAAGAATGTTTACATTTGTTTTACTTTTAGTTATAACCAAACCGCTATAACCTATCTAATGTAAACGATTTCCTCGTTTCTAGAACAGTCATAAAACTATATAGTCAGATATTACACAAATTAATTTGCATTCAGAGTGACTTTAGGCAACCGGCAACTATTATAAAACAAGGTTTTGTGAAAAAACTATTACCATAAGACCAATTGATATTAAATTTTAAAATTTAATAACAGAAGAATATGCACATTTTCAAATTCTTTGGTCAAAATTCTGAAAACTGTAAGAGTTTTGGTTTTGCCAACAGCATGCTGAAGAGGGCATGTCAGAGTCGCCTTTCTTAGATTTTTGGGTAGTAAATATTTACTTCAGTATACAATGCACACGTTTCTGCAGAAAGGAAAACATACTGTCCTTGGTTGTACAATATAGGTATAGTACAGTAAATACAAGAGGTTCTTGTTACAACTTCAAAGTTCTTATGTAAATACGGTTTGAATGTTAGGTACAGTGAAAAGTTTCAATGCAGGGCGGATAAGAATTCTCTTCATTTCTATCAACATCCTTTGTATTCGTATCTCACAAACTGCTGTGTAAGTTATGGTATTATATATTATTTAGTTATGAGCAAAGGGGGTGTTATAAGAGATACCGGATTGTTCTAGTAGTAAAAAATGATGCTTATTTTGTTTACATGATCGACTCAAGTATTTCATTTGGTTCGTTCATGTACTTCCTGATATAATCTGTGAATATATTTGTTCGTAGATGGTGTGGTATGTGTTTTTTTTTGTGGAATTTACGCAAGGTAATATTCAAGAAAAGTTTGAAATTGTGCGAATTACTTTGTATTTGTAGAATGATGTGGTTTCTTTTATTCAATAATTGATATTGGAAGCAAATTCATTTTGGACTGATAACTTTATTCATACCGTATCCAGACAAAAACGTTTTAAGAATATGAGTCTAAATACATAAAGTAACTCTAGAAATTTGGTTTTCAGGTTTATGAGATCAGCACGGTTCAAACAGGACTGCCAACCAATTTATTCTCTTTGTGATAACCGACCTTGAAGATACGTTAATTTACGCTATTTGACAATTTTGTGGTATATCGGAATGTTGCTCGAAAAAAGTAGCTAATTTACGTACTTGTAAGTGTCATTTGAGATTATATAGTACTTGTTAAAGTGAACAGTTAGTCAAAAAATCGTGGACCTAAACAAATAACAGATGACTTTTGATCAATATACTAGTAAATAGTAATTTAGTAAAGAAGTACTATTTCTTTTTTGCGACCTGTTTACGTTACCATGTCACGTTTTTCGCAACATTTTCTTGAAAATATTAATTGAGAATTTTACTCTCCTTGTGGTCTTTAATTCAAACAACACGCAGAGGTCTTAAAACAACAGGATTTCAGACAACTATATTTCTGCAAGGATCTTCTAATAATCCGTAAATTATGATGTTTGTGGTGGCAAGCGTGGTGATTTTGTTGCAAATCTGTCAAAAAGGTAAGATAATTTATTGAAATATACATAATCATTCTCAATACTTCATCCTCCAGAAGAGCTGTACCACATATTCTGGTGAAATCCAGGGTAAATACATGCAACTGTGGCTTTAGCATAATGGTGTTCACGTAAAGTTGGTGTCAGGTCAAAGAAAGACGTATGTTATGCAACGAAATATACTGTTTGCTATACATCAAAATAAAGCATGCAAGTAATTAACCTTCATTCATTCATCATCCAAAAGCCATGATCACCTTTGTGAACGATACATGACCAGTACACGAGTAGACAAGTACTTCTATACAATTTGACGGGAAATTTAGATTGTCCTGTTCAGTCATAGATTGCTATCTTTTATATTGAAATAATATGCGGAGTAAATCCATAGGAGTTTAATTAACTGTCGATATGTCAAGGTAAACAATCACTTTTTACGACCATTTATATTGAGTTCACTCATCCAAACTTTTGATGCACTGTTACACATCGGTAATAGTCACGTAGTAATCAATGCAGTCACTTCACCAGCATAGGATAGGAATCAATGGAGTCAACGTTCTAAATTTATTGTTAGTGACACACCATGCTGTGTGCCAGTCCGAAATTTTGCTAGTGCTAGGACAGTAGTAGTACCTCTTCTCTTTGTTGGTTCCGAATTCCCGAGAAAAAAACGTGTGTGGAGGGGTTAAATATGTAAAAGCCTGTCCCTCTTAGTTATATGATTGCATTTATGTAAATATAATATTGTTTATTGTCCCCATCTGAAAGATTCGCACAAGCAAAATCAATTCTGTTTACTAACAATCTCGTCCAAAGCATGACTAAATCGAGAGCAAATATTTGACTCCTCAAACGCGAAGTACAATCAAGTGTTCCAGGGAGAAACAATGTTAAAAATTCTGATAGTAGTATCACGGATTGCGATGGAGTGTTCACCGCTACCCAACCATCATTGGCCATAATCAATCACAGAGTTTGATCTGTGTCCTTGAATCTAGTTTATCGTCTACCTTTTCGTTGGTGGCATCTTTCTTTGATTTTGACTAACGGTTTTAACGCCTGTCTTGGTGTATATATTTTATAGATGAGAAAAAGATTGTGTTGATTAAATCATCACTGTGTGGGTAATTAAATGTCGCCCGCTTTAGAAAATTGACAATTGTGAAAAATTTTGACCTCTACATAATACACTCGTTAATCTGTCTTACATAAATATAACAATAGCATGCCGGATTAATTAAACGGTAGGATACTAATTAACCAATCGGTCAATATTAATCTCGTCCAGTTTGGATTATATTAATCTTGTCGTCAAGCGAACACAAAACCTTCGTTTCCCTTAGTTTCAATGTAAACATTGCAGATTATTAAAACTTGGTATAAATATTCTCAGCCATTTTCTTAGTTCAACATAGTTGTTAACAAGTTTTTCCACATTCAACAGTTGGATTTATAGTTTACTTGGATTCAATATGGCATATACGGAAACCAAACCAAGAGTGCCTATCATGGCTATGTATGGCACACCGGGACCATGTTACAATCTTCCAACACTCACGGGAGTAAGTACTCACGATCCTAGAAGCAGTCATAATAAACAACCAGCCTACTCTTTTGGAGTTAAACATGGAAAATTCGCCGATGATTGCAGCCCGGGACCTTGTTATCTTCCTGACTCAAAAATATCCAGAAGTGGAAAAGATGGTACCCCGCATTACTCTCTGTATGCTAGACATCGAGAACAAACTATGTTTCAAACACCAGGAGCGGGAACGTATAAACCAGAAGAATCTGGTCCTTCATCAAAATTCTGCCATCCAGCTTACAGTTTTGGTAGCCGACCAAGATATAGAAAAAGTGACAACTCTCCAGCCGCCAACAGCTACACCTTACCAAATATGATGGGTTCGACTGTCCAGAGTGGCAAGCGACAGGCTCCTTGTTACTCACTTCCCGGTAGACAGAAAACTGGCGGTTTCTCCGAGGACACATCTAAAGCACCTGGACCAGGAACTTACAACACCACAGATCCTAGCACTGTCAAGTCCAGGGCACCACTCTACAGTATGACAAGTCGAAACAACATGCCTGGTGATTCAACTCAGAAACCAGGACCTGGAGCTCATTCACCTCAGAATTCATGGAGTCATAAGAAGAAGAATCCGGAATTCTCATTTGGTGTTCGTCATAGTCAGTACATAACCCCTCTTGTAGTTGATATACGTGATTAGAAATTGGTGAACTTGCATAATAAAAAATCATGGAAACTCCAATTTCGAACAATAAATTTGCGTTTTCGTGGGAGTAATTTGAATGTTGTACATAATGTGTATTGGGAATTATCACATATTTTGAAATTTGATTACTGTATAGATTACTGTTAAATTACTTGTACATGTATAATCATTAGGATATGGATCCAATAATTTGTATGATAATATTATGTTTATTTATGTTATAAATTTATTTTTTCTTAAATATCTTCGTTTGATCTCGATGACACTATCTGTTCCTCCATGGTAGCTCTGCGTTCATGATAATGCATATTGCATCTAAATCTTGTATCCATCCACTGTACGCTATTCGCGATTCCATGTTCAGGTAAAGCAGCTGCTGTACTTGCTACTGTTTGTAGATATGTGTACGGGGTTTAAAACTGGGCCCAAGGTATATCATCATAGAAGTAGAAAAAGAACAATGGGATAACACCATTTAAAGGAGCAGTCTGATTTTTTTAGTAGATTGGAAAAATGGGTGCTCAAATTCATGAAAACTATAGACCAAAACATGGAGAAATCCTTACCTTATTTGACATATAGTGCCAACTAAAAATATCTTGCAGTTAATTTTCAGAACGCAAAAACTATCCAAAATGTTTTAGGATGCTGATGGAAAACGTGTGGTTTAGCAAATAAATTGTAAAGAAATGTGCCCCTACTTATTCTGAAGGTTTCAATGTCATGCAGTCTCCAAACAAATCAAATATAGTAAATAACAGTGTAAACCTACTGTTTACCAATATCCAACTGTCGATGGATCTTAAACGTTCACTTGGAAAAGATTTATTATCCCATTCAGACGACTTTACGTTTTTTCCATTTTTGTACCCGCGAACCACATTTCGTTATATCGATGTCTGGTTTGTATACATTAACCAAAACCTACGACAGTCTAACACTTTCTCGGCAATTTTTACCGATGACGTCACTTTGATTGGAGTAAGGTTAATAGCGACCTGGTCCTTATTTTCGAGAACTTTATTTTTGACTTAAATGATTTTAGTGTTCCATTCAAATGAATCATTACAATAAATCACCTGAATCGATTATAAATTAGTTATATTCATTCAGACTACTGTATTTCATATTATCTCAGTTACGTTTTCGAGAACAAGGCCTCTGGCAACTAAAGATTGTCGTTGCCTTCGACGATAGTGTTTCGTTTAAATCCACTACAAAATATAAATAAAATTATCGAAATAAGCCCCAATTTAATTAAAATTAGATTTTCCAATTTCGTTTTCCCCGATATTTTCATCTTCATTGAACATTAACAGGTCTTTTACCACAGTCCCTTTCCAATGACGTTATTTAACCAATTAATGCAAAACCCAAAGTAAGAGCAATATGACACACTCCTGATTCGTTAAACATAACGTTATGAGAACGTTACATCATATCAAAGGCAACTTCGTTGATTATTGACCAATACATGAACTTAATTATCGCCTATTCATTTCCCTTTGCTAATATTAACATTATGAATCACGTTACGTCATATATGAAATTATCTATAAAGTAATTAATATGTATTACCTACCACACGAGGTTTTACATTTTTTTTTTTCAGTTTCTTAAAATTTACAGAATATTATGCAAATTGTCTTGAAAAGAGATTGAAAACACTCTCCAATCATTGACAATTTTGAAAGTTCAATGATAACCATATTTTTCACAAAAGAAATTTGAATTGGAAATAAAATGGACAAGAAAACGTCCATACTGCAAGATATATAAGTTCACACATCATTTGATTAATTCAAGTCAATTAAATGCAATTTTACGTTATTATTTTTGCATGATTATAAGTACAGTGTACTCTGTGATATCCAACATCTGAGTATTCCGACATTCTGCATAATCCGACATTATTTTCTGGTCCCGATTGATTTCCTTCTTAGGCTAGTTCCGACACTCAGAAAAATCTGTATAATCCGACATCTACTCATCTTAATCACTTATCGCCAATTAGATAATCGGGGCGCATCATAAAATGTGCAAAAACGCATTGTTTCAGGACTGTTGCACTAATGCCCTCTTCTTGGAAATAGAACTGTCGAGTGATTGTGTGATAACCCGAAGGTATTTATCTTTATCGTGTATACGACTTGATTAATATCAGTATCCCGATTTTACTGCTTACTAAAAACATCTTGGTTACAAAGAAACAAACCTTTATTAAATTACTTACAAACGATTATATACATAATGATACATTTGGACGGAATAATATAGAAAGAAACAATAAGAAATACAAAGGTATTAAATCAAACTAAGTCTATTTACATGCCGTCATTCAATCAGATACATCAACGATCAAGGGAGTTGTGAATGCACTATGTCTTACACCGAAAGAAAATACCGGATTCTTCTTCTTGTGTGTCCAGGTATTCTGTGGAGAATGAGCCCCTGGTCCTGGCTTCTGTGTAGAATCACCTGGCATGTTGCTTCTCCCGGTCATGCTGTAAAGTGGTGCTCGTGATTTAAAGGTGGTTGGATCTGTAGTGTTATACGCGCCGGGTCCTGGTGCTTTAGCCAAATCTTCTGAGAATCCACCGACTCTTTGTCTTCCAGGTAATGAATAACAAGGTGCCTGTTTCTTACCACTAAGAACAGTGGATCCAGTCATGCCTGGTAATGTGTAACTGTTTGCTGCCGGGGTGTTGTCACTTTTCCTGTATCTTGGTCTGCTTCCAAAAGTAAATGTCGGATGAGAAAATTTCGACGAAGGCCCGGCATCTTCCGGTCTGTACGAACCCACACCTGGTGTTTTGAACATGGTGGCTGCCTGGTGGCGCCCATATAGAGAGTAATGAGGTGTACCATCTTTACCAGCTCGGGTTATTGTTGAGTCAGGTAAATATCTTGGTCCTGGACTGCAATCATCTGCTAATTTTCCATGTTTTACTCCAAATGAAAAAGCTGGTTGTTTGGTATGGCCGCTTCTAGGGTCGTGGCTGTTACTACCTGTCAGTACTGGTAATCCATAACGAGGTCCTGGTGAAGTGTAGGAAGCGGCAATTGGTACTCGTGGTTTGGTTTGGGTGTCTTCCATTTTGAGATTTCTAGTCCTGTTTTGTACTAAAACACAAGTTCTTCGGCCGCTATTTCCAATATATATTAGAAGTAGTAGTTGATTGTTGGAAGACAATGTTGAATATACAGTTTCCAAAACTTTACTGGCTTATATAGCAACTGTACTTGGGAACCAAGGTGGACGCTATGGAAACGAGTGTGGTAATTAATCTGGATAATCTTAATAATTCATAATCATTGATAATAGTGTTATGATTTGAAAGGTATGACCTGTACTAATTAATCCTATTCAAATAATTTAAGCTTGTATTATCCACTTACATAGATCAAATCTGTTTTCAAGAGTGTAACAAACACAATGTCTATTACACTTTTTTTCAAATTGACAAATTCTTTTCAAACAGATAACAGATTTTGCTCAAAACGAATGAGAAATATATCCCAATTAATGAACAACCAAGGCCATACTCATCCATATTTTTGTAACCGCCTGATAAGACTACTGCACATCCTTTCAAAATAAATCATTTTTCATCCGGGCTTATATTTGCTTCACATTTTTTGAAATTTTATTGCGACTACTAAATTTAGTTCATCCCAAGTCCATTTCAGTTATTTGGCGATGATCTCGACATTTTGTTTTATTTTACAGTATTTACTGCTCGTATTAAATGCTCGTAAACACTCAAGAAGGTACAATTCTTGAAAGGTGTGGACAAAACTTGGTGTGAATGGTTGTTATAATCTAAGGATGAACCCTATCGAAATACAGAAAAATCGAAAATTATTTAGTATGAGTTATTGCCCTTGTTCCTGAAAACGCGTTCAATTATTAGCTTGTAAACACTCCAGAAGGTTCAATTATTGACAGATTTTGACGGAACTTGATGTGATTGTTTGTAATCACCCAAAGATGAACCCTATTGAAAATCTGAAAGATCGAAAATTATTTAGTATGAGTTATAGCCCTTGTTCCTGAAAACGCGTTAAATTTGAGCTCGTCAACACTCTAGATGGCATAATTATTGACAGAATTTGACAAAACTTGTTTAAATTATTATTAAGTATTGTCCCAAAAAGTGTGTAGGAATTATACGTTTTTCATAGTATTTCTGCATTTCTTAATGTGCCGATGACAACACCACTAACACAGATGCAAATAATTTCCAAACCTATCTAAGTTATAACATGTTTTATTTGTTCTTTCTTGTTTCACTTGTTATGTCCCTTTACTAACCATGCTTCAGTAGCCGTGTTGCATTTAAAAATGAATAATGTTTCGGTGTCTGGTTTCATTTAAGTTACAGGAAGTCGCATTTCTTGTTCTCTACGCACAGAATTTAATATTTTGGAGCCTTTTGTCATTTGAGAATTCAATGTTTTGTCGAGACGATTTAGGCCTATCCTTTTAAAATGTTAACTAAAAGTTATATCAAAATAATTTATCGCCCTAAATAGATAATTTCTTTATGGCGCAAGACAGAGTATTCTTACTATTCTAGACACCTGATAACACTTTTCACTATGAAATAATTACTCACTTATGAATGATGTACTTCCTCGCGTGATATGTTGTTTTGGGATTTCGGGTTTCGTTGTTCTGTTTGGAACGTTAGGACGTATGTATTACTTCCTTCCTTTACGATAGTCTGAGTTACATGTCAGTGACTGGTCTAATATTCTCAAATCTAAGTCATCTTCTAGGGTGACTAAATGACACATTTAGCAAACATTATTCAGATTAATTATCCGAGATACGGCGAACGTTTTAAAATAATTGCCATAACTTACGCTTACATATGATCATTCATGATGCCACAACCAAAGAGCAGTAAATTGTATGGTATATTGATTTCAACAACGAAGTTTGAATAAATAAGATAGCTTGCCAGGCAAGGTAATATACGCCCACTGGCAGCTTTGATTCTGAATAAAAATATTTAGCAGTACAGTAACAATCACCAGTATGAAATATTCAACCTTCAGTCATACACTTCTTTTGAACTCTTTAGGGCGATACTGAATAATATTGAGTATGAGTTATTGCCCTTGTTCTTGCAAACGTGTTCAATTTCTAGCTCGTGCAAACTCTAAAAAGCAAATATTCAATCTTCAGCGCGGGACTGAATAATACAATCAAGTTTTGTCAAAATCCAGCAAGAATCATGCCTTTTAGTGTTTAAGACCTAAATTTGAAAGCGTTTTCAAGAACAAGGGCAATAACTCATACTAAATATTTTTCAATTCTTCTGATTTTCAATAGGGTTTATCCTTGAGTGATTACGAACATTCACACCAAATTTCATGTGACTTCTAGAGTAATTACGAGCTAAAAATTGAACGAGTTTTCAAGAACAAGGGCAATAACTTAGACTAAATATTTTTCGATTTCTCTGATTTTCAATAGGGTTTATCCTTGGGTGATTACGAACACCCATGCCAAGTTTCGTTTTCAAGAACAAGGGCAATAACTTATACTAAATATTTTTCGATTCTTCTAATTTTCAATAGGGTTGATCCTTGGGTGATAACGAACACTCTTTAAACCAAGTTTTGTCAAAATCCGTCAAGAATTGTGTCTTGTAGAGTGTTTACGAGCAATTGTGGACGGACGGACGGACATAGGTGACGGCAATATACGCCCCCCATTTCATGTAGGAGCGTATAAAAAGAAAATATGTATATTTTATAGTTTTATTTACAGTATACACGTATAAAGATAAAGAAAAATTGCAATTGAATTGAGCAAGGATGAATAGAATAAATATTGAATTGTAATAAATGATTAATCCAGGACATTAACTACCAATGGAGTTGTGTATTGACTATGACGAACACCAAATGAGTACTCCGGATTCTTCTTCTTATGAGTCCACGTATTTTGAGGAGAGTGAGCTCCTGGTCCTGGTTTCTTAGTTGTATCACCAGGCATGTTGTTTCGACTGGTCATACTGTATAATGGTGCCTTTGATTTGGTGTTGTTTGGATCGGCTGTGTTGTAGGTTCCTGGTCCAGGTGCTTTGGCAAGATCTTCAGAGAAAGCACCGGTCTTCTGTCTTCCACGTAATGAAAAACATGGAGCTTGTTTCTTACCACTTAAAACGGTGGTTCCGGTCATACCTGGTAGAGTGTAGTTATTTGCTGCTGGAGTATTGTCATTTTTCCTGTATCTTGGTCGGCTACCAAAACTGTAAGCTGGGTGGTGATATTTAGACGAGGGTCCGGAGTTTTCTGGTCTGTAAGCTCCTGCCCCAGGAGTTTTAAAGGTAGAAGCTCCCTGGTTTCTACTGTAGAGAGAATAATGTGGAGTTCCATCCTTTCCACTTCTCGATATTTTTGAGTCGGGTAGATAACAAGGTCCTGGACTGCAATCGTCGACGAATTTCCCATGCTTAACCCCAAAAGAGTAGGCTGGTTGTTTATTATGACCGCTTCTGGGATCGTGACTGGTTCCTCCTGTAAGAGATGGTAGACTGTAGCACGGTCCTGGAGGTGTATACATAGCAGCAATTGGTACCCGTGGTTTTGTTTCTGTACAAGCCATTTTGAAACAAATGAATTACTGTTTAATACAGTGGTTACTGTAGATGAGTTAAATAAGACAGGAATGTCATACATTTCGAATGTTAGTGATATTTATATGTACATGTATACCTGAACTATATTCTGATACCAAGGAAACCAAAGGATTAAACTACAGGATTATCTCGTTGTGAGTTAAAAATTTTAATTGGAGCTTTTGGAGATTATCGAGCCCATTCAGATCCAATAATTAAGAATAAAGGTTACTCTTTGTAATTAAGGAATTATGGGGGTGGGGGGGGGGGGGGGGGGGGGGTTACTGTCTATCTTTTGAATTAAGCGATCATGGCGTTTGTAGTAACCTGATTGTGGTCGATGCATTCATTTTGTGAATGATTGACCATAATGTTAACAATATACTGCATAGTTTTTAAAATTATTTTGTTGTTAGGTTCACATATAACCTATTATTTTAATATCAAATTGTCAGACAAATCAATGCAAGCCATGAAATGTTTGCCTTCAAATATCATTAAATCTCACTTTAAATGGCCCGTATGTTCTAGTTGTAATCAAATCGATACCTTCCAGGCATATCAATAACAGACATCTGTTTACCTTATTTCGTGACTGTTTTATATAAAACTTGTTTATTATTTATACCAATTGACGTGATCTCGAGAAATGCGAGAACCGCTGACGGTTAAGGCACTATATTGCGTGAAACCATTAAAATGCTCCGGGGCAAAAACGAAGGCATTGACAGTTTTTTTTTCTTTTTTTTCCTTATATATGACAAATGTAAAATGCCTTCAAATTTACTTGACCTGGACTAAGTATTTGTCGACAAAGCTAATCATAAGAAACACTCACTATGTGTTCATTTTCTAGCGGAAATGGCCTTACAACCAAATCTAACTTAGAGCGAAATGGCAGTGAAAGATATTATTCCAAATTCCATTGATAAACTCCGAAGCAAAGACTGGTCGTCAATGTTACTTTCAAACCCCCAAAAAATAACTGATACACCGGACAAAAACGCTAGAATTTCAGCGATAGCTAAACGATTTGTGCCCTTTTTTAAGTCATAAATTATGAAGTGATCACGGCATTATTAATCCTAAAGAAATCCGAGAATTGGGATATGATCGAAAATCTGTAAAAGGTACTTATAAGTTTCAAATTTAGCAAAAAAATGATGAAATCCGAAAAATAATTTGAACAGTTTTAAAAAAAAAAAAAGATTGAAATGTTATGATTCTGGCTTTCAAAACAATATATCAATTAATGTCCTTATTGACTAAACATTTCTAAAATATGAAATAAACACTGGTGACACCACCATGTATAAAAATAACAAAATGTATGAAAGCTTAAAGGAGGTTTTCTGAAATTTGTTTGTGTATCGGGGACAGCATCAATTTGCATATTTTAAATTTTCGATCAAACGTCTTTATCACATAAGGACCTTCGCGATGAGTGACGACTAAAAATTGTAAGTGTCACTGATACACATACCATTTTATGAACACCTCCTTAGAATCCCTTTAACTGAATTGACCTTGAACTTTTACCATAAAAATTGTGGAAATTCGGATATATTTTAGGTCATCCAACCAATAGGCCTACTATCGCAATCATTATTAATTATTGTCAAGTACCAATCAATGAGGAACATTTCTTCTAGAATCTACCACAAGTAATCATGAATAAATGATTTAACGCATTTTTAATTCATTAAGTTATGTTTCTATGGCATGTAGGCCAGTAAATACTTCTGGGGGATGTTGACTCACAACACAGAATTTCTTTCAGGTTCCTATGTAAAGTTTAACGATTTGATTTTGGACATGTTGCTGTGAACAGTGTTTGGCGTTTTCTGAAAAATAATACCAATAGGTATTTGGATTTTCGATGCGTTTGTTCGGATATATTTGTGATCATTGTCCATAAACTTATTAACTCTCTAACATCGGACGATTACAAGTGAGATAAAGTACATCATCAACCATTAGTCATGGCAGCCCCAGATTTTGTACTCGTACCAACCAAACCTCGGGGACCAATTGCCGCTATGTATACAAGTCCCGGTCCATGTTACGGATTACCAAATTTAACAGGAGTTAGTGCGCATGATCCCAGAAGTAATCACTTTCGAAAACCAGCCTTTTCGTTTGGAATTCGACATGGGAAAGTTCGTGATGATTGTAGCCCTGGACCATGTTACCTTCCCAACTCTAAAATGTCAAGAAGTGGTAAAGGAGGTATGCCGGAATTTTCTCTGTATAGTCGTAACAGAGAACCGACTGTGTTCAGAACTCCAGGACCCGGGGCATATAAACCAGAGAATGCTGGCAAATCATCCCGAAGATCTCGTCCTGGTTATACGCTGAGCGGTCGACCAAAGAACAGGAAAACGGATCACACTCCAGCTGCCAATAGTTACACTTTGCCGAGCATGACTTGTACAACTCATCAAAGTGGCAAACGTCAAGCACCGTGTTTCTCATTACAAGGCCGAAATAAAACCGGGGGTTTTGCTGAAGATATGTGTAAGACCCCGGGTCCTGGTGCTTACAGTACAACAGATCCGAATATTTCCAAATCCAGAGCACCACTGTTTAGCATGGCTGGACGGGGTACTTTACCGGGAGATACAACGCAAAAGCCTGGACCAGGAGCACACTCACCACAAAATGTTTGGCTGGATAAAAGGAAAACTCCAGAATATTCTTTTGGAATAAGACATAGTCCGTTTACTGCACCTTTGATAATTGAGGTGATAGACTAGCCACGAGGTTGTTGTCAAGACATTACGATTCTATAATCTTGTTAACATCAATACTTTTTTGCTTACGAATCTCCAAGTTCGCATTTTCCTGACAATATGCCACATATTCGCGGTAGATGATCATCATTGTGACAATCATTGTCATGAAACTACTAGTGATTATTGCTAAATGTGAATATGGTGAATATGTGTTATCCACTAATTGAAAGATGTAGACATGTGCAACATCCTGGACTCTAATCTACATGCAACATCGCTGATGTATAGCGACACTGAAATTGTACGATCATCAGAATTACATCCGTCTTCTTCCTCCTAAATTTCGTTTCGTAAAATGTAACCAAATGTGATTATTCGACCTCGGTATAACTCCGAATAAAGTGCTATAGTCTTCAATAATTTGTAAAAAAATAAATAACATACAGTAATTTGTTGGCATGATTGGATTGAGGATTTTGAAAAGATACTAGACACCGGTGCATGTTTACACAACATATGCGTCAAAAGTAAGTGCACCTGGAGGAAGAAGTCACGGAAAATGTTTAGTCAAACTCTTTGTAAATAAAATTTGTGAAGGTATATAAATGTATCCTTAATAAAATAACCCATTTAGTAATCATCCAGAAATATTATTCCCGATCCATCCTATGATCCTGTTAATTTTATATGTCAGAATAAGCGCTCAGTCGCTCAGAACATAGATGAGAGCTTGCAGGCAAGGTAATATACGCCCACGGACAGTTTTGTTTTGGAATTTAAATATTTGGCAGTACAGTAACAATCAGCAGTATGAAATATTCAACCTTCAGTCATACAATTCTTGTGAACTTTTGAAGAATCGTGCTAGAGAGTTTACGAGCTAACAATTGAAAGCATTTTCAAGAACAAGGGCAATTACTCATACTCAATATTTTTCGATTTTTCTGATTTTCAATAGGATTAATCCTATAAAACGATAAAAAACACTCACACCAAGTTTCGTCAAAATCTGTCAAGAATTGTTCCTTCTAGGATGTTTACAGGTTAAAAATTATACGCGTTTTCAAGAACAAGGGCAATAACTCATACTAAATATTTTTCATTTTTAATAAGGTTCGTCCTTGTATGGAAGCCGACTGTGGCCATATCTACACTCGACTTCACGCCCACGAGAAAGCAAGGAAACTAGATTTCTCGCCCACGAGAAAGCGAGAAAAAAGGCGAGAAAAGAGGCGAAAAGGCGAGGGTAAAACAAGACATGGAAAAAGGCGAGAAAGCGACGAAAAATGTCCTCGTCTTCTCGCCTTTTTCCTCGCCTTTTTTTACCCTCGCTTTCTCGACTCTTTCCTCGCTTTGACGTCTCTCGATTTCTCGTTGGCGCAGCCTGTAAAGAATTTCAGGAACAAGGGCAATAACTCATACTAGATATTTTCGATTCTTCTGATATTCAATAGGGTTCATTATAACACTCACAACAAATTTTTTCTTGTAAACAGCGTCAGTGTCTCCATTTACCTAGTCGGGTCCAGTTGACAAAGAATTATGGACTAACGTGTCAAAAGTAAAATTGGATCTTAACAGACTAATCCATTTTAAATATATTCTTACCTATTCCCCTCTCCCAAATTGCAGGAACATCTACGAACTGTCTCAGGACCTTCCTGCTCTCTGAAATGACTAATTCTGGTCTGGCATAGTTTGATTCGTCATATAAGGGAGACAACCAACATAAATCTTTCTAAATCTCATTTAAACAATATTAAATTACATTAGGAGGCGAGCTTGAATGCATTAACTGGCCATGGCGTCATTTATATCTCACCTTGAGATGGACACGGAACAATTCTGTCAGAGACCTGCCACTGACTGAGAATCCAACTGCCCTGAAATAGAGCTCAAATCAAGCGCGTTAGAGAAGGATTGGCGTACCATTTATGGTACAATTATGCAAATGTTTTACAGTAATTATGTTGGTACTTAATTTGACCACTTCAATTAAATGTTGCTTTAAGATTATTATGAAGACAAACCCAGTAGTTGAAAACCATAAAATTTATTCAGTTGCAATTATGGATGTATATTTCAGTATTTGCTGTAATGCCAATTGATATTGAGTGCTCAGTAAGCAATGGTTTAGTACCTAACATGACATCATGTAGAGATTTTATTTTGTGTATAAACGGTAAAATGGTACGTCGGATACCTTGTGCTAATGGTTTGTTGTTTGATACCACTATAGGCATGTGTAATTATGAACATGTAGTATCTTGCGGAGAAAGACCAATGCAAGGTATGAAAAATTCATTTATTTGTATTTCACTAAAATAAAAATATATTATAACATGAAATAGCACCTTAGTACTAAAACTATACAATATTAGAATAAGGTGTAAATTGACCACTTTTACTATAGACATCAAATAATCGACATATTTAGCCAATATCATATTTATATTTTTAATTTTAACAAAATATATTTTTGTCAAATTTTGGCTTTACTTTATTATAGCATTAAATGTTGTTACAGGGTTCCAGAAGTGTTATGTAGTCAAAGTGAATGTTACAATTATTGTCGAAAATTCGATAACAGAGCCTAAATTTACATTAAAAACTAGTGTATATGCACAGCGACAACCATTGTATTATTTTTTGTTGATGGCTGCGGGAAAGGACAGCAGATTTTCGTAAGTTCTGATAGAAATTGATCCATTTGTTTAATAGACCTAGAAGTCTGCAAAAGTTGCCTTTCGTATCAACATATTACTTGATTGATTCAAGTGGGTGTAGTAACAGCCATTCCAATCTTGGACTTGGACTATTGTCACAATTCCTTTTCAAGCTTCTTTGGGATTACATGACACTCTGACGAGAAGGCCATTAATTCATAGATACTGATTTAAAACCCTTGTTTTAATTCCTTTTACAAGACGGTATAAATGAAAGTAGACCAAACTTTCGTTCCGTTTTTTTTCCATTACTTTTATTTTTAATATAGCCACTTCATTTAGGGTCTAACGACAGCCCTCTTGCACAGTTGTCGTCTTAACATTTGACCTAACTCGATGATGTCTGCTTTAACCAATGGAATTTTTACCCTCTCCATCGCTTGCATTTTGTGTCGGAGTAGAAATATAATCTGGATTTCTTGACCTGATAATAAATAAACTTTCCAAAATTATGACTTTTTACCTTTTCGGCCAAATATTTAGGTTTAACACGACAAAAATAGACGATTATGGCGAGTTTGTTCTATCGTTCAATGGTTTGGTTGGTAGTGAAAAGATATTTACAGTATGGATACCATCTGATAGACGAGATACTGGAATAAAACAAGGTACAACATAGTAATGTTTAGAATAGCATTAACGGATTGATGTGACCTATATTACGGATCATAGTGTAAAGTATACAAAAATATAATTTCATCAGACCAAAAATGGACTATTTAATGGTTCAAGAATGTGTCATGGAATATGCTTGTATATCGCCCTTATCATACATAATGTGGTTTCCTAAAAATCATTTTGAGCAAGTTAGATTCTCACAAGGGAAACAAAATTGACACACCACATAGCCGAATGACATGAGATGATACGGAAACGACCGCATACCTTACTCACTAGACCCACATCCGTCAATATTTTTTTTACTGCAAAACTAATTATTTTTGTTATATTGCAGGTATTCACGAGTTTTATCCCGAGGATAAGGAAGTTATAACTTATAAATATTACTCATTCTCTGATGGCCTTAATGATGAAAACTTTCCATACCCTAATGTAGATAATATAGTGAAATGATTTAATGGAAATGTGTATATTTTATCATAGGAACATAACAATAGGTGTGCAATCCTATGTGTAGCATAATACTAAATCAATTCACAACATTATTAAAGAATCAAAACTACTGTAAAACAGAGTCAATCATGTGTCTTATTCAGCGAGTCAATATTTGTCATTAAAAATAACAAGTAAAATGCAATTATGAATTAATATTCTGTTATTTACAATCAGTCTCTGTTACATCGAAATCAATGATCTAAAACTACTCCATTATCAACATTTATTTGATGGTTTGATTCCATGTAGCTTATTTTGGAAATTTCGGTGGTCACCGAATATAATTGTAATCAATTCCCTACAAAGCATACATGCACAATTTCATTGAATGAAAGTAATTAAAAACAATCTGAAGCTATTATATGCGCTATTTCTATTACGTATGTGTCTCTATTCGGATTAAGGCAACATGACGAAGTGGACGTAGTTGATGGTAATCTGTTTAGGCTTAAAAATGATGTTGAATTTTGGTTAATTTGAACACTACACATAAATAAGGTTTTCATTCTTTCGTACACTGCTGAGACAGGCCATTTGCAAGCAATGATTTCCTGTCAAAAGAAATGAGTACACTTAGAACCAAAGCCTAGATGCAGGTACAAGATCACTGTCTTTCTATGATCACAATACAAAATCCCGGTGAACTATGGGATTGTACTTGTTACATTACGTTATTAAATATATTTTACTTCTTTGCTTTTATTAACAAGCCATAACGGATGTTTTTCCAATGAAACCCTCATTAAGGATGTTGATTTTTTCTACAGTTTTTAATAAGACCCGAAAAACTGTTAACCAAATATATAATATCCGGCGATATAACGAGTAAAATGAAAATTGAGAAAATCGCCACTGCGCCAGATCCTATGTATAACACAGAAGGTCTTTCATCATTTATGCTTATCTTACGGCGCATCACTCTTGTTAAATTACTTTTCTCTATACTAAGAGATACGACGATATCTTCAATTCGCTTATCTAATGTAACATCATCGAGTATTTGGCTCTCTACACATAGACAATTACAAAGTTCGTCTGGCAGGTCCACTGGCAAATCTGTTAAGTTAGGTAGCTTTATTTTCGTTAGATTAGAAACAGATTGTAGTATAATATTGCTCCCATTAACAAAAACCCTCTCGGTAAAGTTGAAAGAGACTGTTTGAGAAAGCACTCCTTTCAAGTTGGCTTCTTTACTGAAATTCAGAGTGAATGGTAATTCTGTTGTTGGCGAATGAGTTGTTGTATCTGTATCTATAATGAAATGGGATGAAATAAAAACCAAACACTGCAACAATTTGGCCAATCTAAGCGACAGGTTTCAAGTACACCTGTAAATAGCTTAATCGAAAGAAAGTCATTATGAAATTACCGTACCGAAGTGGCGATACAGTCTTGGCCATATGACAGATATAATTGTTTCTAGGTTCAAAAAGCGGGTTACGGCAAAGCACAGTAACAATAAGAATCCGTATAAGTTACACTATTCCGTTAATCAACATCTCGTCCGAAGTATGACAAAATGGAGAGTAAAAGGATTATAGTATTTGACTCCTCCAAAGAGAAGTGCTATCATTTGCATGATCAGCTTCGCACGAAACAACATCTTATACTTTGAAGTTTGGAAATTGACTGTAAAGTCACCAAACTTGATCAAAAACCATAACTTCAAGGTTTCGAAGTTTTTTTTTAAAGCAAATAATTAATCATGAAAAACACTGTTGACGTATACGTTCTTCAAACTATAATCTACTGGAAATGTATACACATTTAAGATAAGCACAACACAACAATTTCTATTTATAAAACAAGATAAAATTACTCAACTTACCGCAATTATCAACATGATAATGTGTCAAAATACGATCACTCTCTCCGTAGCAAAACATACTGTTAACACCATCTAAACATCGTGTTTGAAGTGAGTATGTATTAACATTCATTTCAAACCGCTCAATAAAGGCATTGTTTGTGTCATACGTATTACGGTTCCAGTAACAGTATGGATGGTAAAGTGAATGGGCCAGCATACTCGGTTTACTCACTTGAATAGTGTTGATGGTTTTTGCTGAAATGATTAAAAATGTTCACATCAATTATATCACATTTTGCAATTTTTTTTATATTTCATACTGAATTTGAAGCCAAATTGTTAAATTACAGCAAATCGTTTTGTTAATAAAATCGTCTACACGTAATTCTTTATATTGATCTTAAACTAATATTCTCGTCTATTATGACCAATTATACCGATTTGTATTTACCCTTTCACTGGCTACAAATATATAAAAAATAAGCAAAATAAGTTTAAAAAGGGAAGTGGGACTTAAAATAACGACTTCTACAGAATTATTAACCACGATATTTTGTTTGGATAAATCCGATTGGTCAATAACTAAATCCTCGACCAAACAAAAAATGCGATGACGAAATATCGGCGTTCAATGCTTGATGCAGCCTTTCAAAATGTGACATTACCAAATTGGGACACAAATTAAAAAAAATGTCTACCTTTTAATTTTCTTTTGAAATTTGTGTAAGTAAGGGATAGAAAGAAGGATGAAAAATTTCATAATGTATTAACTTACCACAGTGAATCATACTACAAGCACTAAAAGATTGTCCAGAAACATTTGTAAAACACCATGGACTAGAAAAACTATCACCATAATTTCTACAGCGCCTTGTGTTGAAATTTTTTTTATATTCTTGAACTTTATTCGTGTCTTCAATATCGCTCCAATATACACACGATTGTTTACTCGGTGTTTGTGTTTGCATCCCTCCATAATCTGTACCATCGGGAGACAACGAACAAAATAAACCTGTAAAGATGCATTTTGTCAATACATTCAAAAGTCCAAATCACCAATCTTATTAAATCAAATGCAGATGTTTTGGTTTTTCCACACTCGATATTTACCCATGACCCATAACAAATTGAGAGCTTGCAAAATGTAATCAATAATTTGATTGGCTGAATATGTAGAGCAAATTTTAGACATCATATAATACTCTACGGCGTACAGATATCGTCGGATGTTCTATATGAAAGCTATATGAAAGAGTTACTTACTGCACTTTTGAACCATGCAATTTTCTCTATCTGTGTAATTTTTCACAAAACACCATGGAACTGACGCTGAATTATCAGGATTTCGGCAATAATTTTCAGCATCTTTGACCGAATCATCGGGCAAGTTTTCCATATTAAAATTTAGATTGGTTGGAATTTGATCCCATCTTTCACAACTCGTATCATTCCAGGTAAAGTTCATCTTCCCTTGATAATTACTTGGATGACTTCGGTAACACTCGTGATCTGGGATATATAATATTAGACCACGTAATTTCAATAGACTTCAAAGAATAATTTTAAAAAGCTGCTCTAGACTACCATAATTAATTGCTGAAGCATTATTTCATGTTCAACAAATGTAAACTTTGAAAACAACATTGTACTGGTATTACCGTCTCGTCAGTAATTATGGCATATGACCAGATATTGTATTATTTAGAAGCTAACTATCCCTTTTATATTTTCGACCATTCAGCTTTTGCTTTGCTTCTTTTCAGATAACATGATATGGTAAAGGCGTCTTGTTTGGATGTTTTTAAAAAAATCAAAAGAATTGAGTTAAAGTTTCTATATATAACAATACGGCAACAATAAAGTTTCTGAATGCAAACTAAAGAAAACGAACACAAAAGAATGCAAATATAGATCTTACAAAAACTTAGTTCATAAGACATTGCTTCAATTTGTCATTTAAATAGAACAGTAAACCATGTGCTATAAGCTTTGCGAGTAGATTTCTTGACAATCACGAAGAGAAAGATAATACCATTGTCGTGTCAAACTGTGGCTCATTGCAGGTAAAGGTCGTTTTCATTGGTTTATAAGCTTGAAGGAATTAGGACGTAAACTCTATTTTATTTTCATTAATTAGAGAAGTAGATTTATGTTTTACTGAAAATATCGGTATACCATTCGTATCTTTATAAAATCCATTTACATACAGTTCACATAAGTTGACAGATTTATTTGAAGTAGAGTTACGATAAAATACAACGGTATTGGCCTCCGTATTATCCCCAAAATCACATATAATACTTTCTTCGACAGACTCGTTACATAACATTCAGATAGATCTCCATTACTTTTAATGACTTTGACTCCTGTTCCCTCTGTGACGTAATCTTTAATTGAAAAAATAAGAATAAATAAATATAAATTAGGAAATTACATACAGTTGTGATTAGACAAAGAATACCTTGATTTAAGTTTGTGATTTTATTACAATTTTAGTATTTCCAGTCCGCCTAATTACGTTTCAAAAGAAAGATGCGAATGGAATTGCCATGGAAAAGAAATGGTGAGAGTTAATAGCAAGATTATAGCTTCGGCTTTTAGATTGATGATTACAGCCTGGGGACTTAAAACTGTCCTATTTTCATTTTTAAAAGCATCGTGTGTTGATAAATTAAGTTGTATCAGCTGGTAAATAAAATATTTAGGCAAGGAAGTTCGAAAATGCATTGTGGTCGCAATATGAAGATTGATATAACATGCGTTTAAAGGAATTAGAAAACAACATTTGAATCACTTTTCATGTCTTACTCAGAGTTTCAGACCGACCTATTTCCAGCCTAAATCTCTACTGAGGTTGGACTTGTTATCATGACTACATTTTGAGACAAGTTCAGAAAATTTGTTTAGAGAATTGTGCTTATGGGCATGGAAAGCTTAATAATAATAATCACTATCAGCAGCACTGTAGCAAATCTACGAATGTTTTGTGTACTGCTCAGGACCGAATAGAATAGGTGAGAAAAAACCAGTATTATTTTTTATACCAACCTAACAACATAATTGTTACAGATAAAACTATAAATGTTCTATTTTTTGCATCTGCACCCATTATTTCCATATTCCCCGATTCCAATTTCTGGCATGTGTCCATAGACTGATCAAAAGCGTAACTGTTTTGGACGTCATAAGCTTGCATCGGTATCAAATCATCCCCTAAATTACACAGAAGAAAACTCTTAAATTGTTACAAAAATGTTCCAAATTCATCAAAGAGTGCGTAGGGCGATCGATTGTTTTGTATGTTGTCAGCACCTGTTTAATAAATTCCAATCATTATGCATAATTTGGATATTAAACATCGTCTTCGAAATTGCTATAAAGCGGACAGATTTAAGATTATGAATAAAGGGATTGTAAAGTGGTTTTCTAAAAATCGTATATCGGGGACACTAAAAGCGCATCAATTTGCAACATTCCTATTTTCAATCAGACGTCTGTGGTTCCTGCATCGCATCACGGGTACGGGTTTTGACATTGTCTTATTAACCCGTATTAAACTAAGAACGCTACAGGTTGGTTTCTGGGCGTGGAAATGAGATATGTGATATTTAAATCTGATCAATCAGATCGGCAAAACGGAAATTAGGTTATGTAAACAAAACACAACATTGCTTTGCCACCGCCCATTTGAACAGATAAGAACACATTCTTTCCAAATAAAAATATTCCAATGTAAGGTTTGATCTTCTCTCTACTCAATTCTGTACTGTCCATATATATCAAAACATTTAATGACAAGCTGCTTTCGTTTTGTTTACGTTCGTTAACAAAGCGCTATAACGAGTGATTCGTTTTGAATGGCTGAGAATTTACAAGCAAGACAGTAGGACCAATTCTGATTAGACAATTCTTATCTATGAGTACGTAATTTCTCTCATCTGTATTACCACGAGGAAGGATGACGAATGGGGGCGTGGGTTGAACATGATGTGGTTCTTGCAATTCCACTTAAACTAAGAGTTTAATGACGTCACTAATCGCGAGGTTTTTATACATGATATGGCATAATTATTGCGATTAGTGACGTCATCAATCGCTTAGTATAAGAAGAATTGCAAGAACCACAGACGTCTGATTGAAACTGGAATGAGGCAAATTGGTGCTATCAGTGTTTCCGATACAAATGAAAAAATTTAGAAAACCTCTTTCGCCTTAATCATTATCATGCATTGGATGTGGCCGAGGCGTGCAGCTTATTTAGCTCCGCATTTTAAGCTAGCTTTAAAGACAGTTCTGAGTAATATTATTCTTACGCTGGGCACAATCAATATTATTTCCAGACCACTTCTTTCCAAAGCATTTGACAAATTCCCAATTTTCTAACCAATAAAAACTAGCAACACATCTGTATTTGATGACGGTGTCGCTCCTCAATTCAATTTCTGCTCCATATCTAAATTTGGGTTGTCCATAGCAGCCCTCTGGAAATAAAACAATGTGAAACCTGGCAATATTTCTAAATTTTTGTCATCGATGTATGAGTCGACAAACTTAGGTAGGCATTTGTAAATTACAAAAAGGATTCGTGTACACTACATATAGAGTTTAAGATTTGATGGCAGCTCTATATCATATTGTTAAAAAGGAATATATTACTATTGTAGAATACAGGATGTTTTCTTGGATTTCCTTTCTGTTTTTTATTATAATCAGCCAGATAATTGATCAGAACAATAAATGTAATATTTGCATTTTAAGAGCAAAGAGTTATATAAGAAATGATTTTACCATTTCTCAAATTCCCAACAGTCTTGAACTCACAAACTGTTATAAACCCCGTAACACCGGGTTCTAATACCATGCCGACATTTATCACAAAACCATAATATGTAGGTGATGAACACTCAATAAATATCGTTTCATTGTCATTCAAATCCTCAAATATACCACCACAGGTACCAATAATATGGGTTGTGTTTGATTGGTCTTGTGACGATACCAGCCTAATAATAACAGGACCTCGAGCCCCTGAAAAAATGTACATGTACAGTGAAAGGATACATGATACCACTTTTCATAATGAAAAAATTACTCATTTATGAGTTTCGTTTTGCGGTTCGAATCGTTAGTACTTTGAGTTTTTTTTATTCTATACAAACTACATTATGACGCCGTTATCGCTTAAATTGGTTTCTGAGGCAAACGGATTGGATTGTATTTACAGGTAAAGCTGACGTTTGATAATATGCTGTAAGCGTCTTGAAAACTTATTTTTGAATACCTTAACCACATGTACATACATTATTAGATAACATACCAGTAAAAGCCCCAAAAGTAACGGAAATGGATTGCAAATCCACAGTCTCATACATAGTAAAGTTGATATTTGGTTGTGATGACACATCTGATTTTCTGCAGGTGTCTGTCCTGTTGTCGTAAAATATACTAGCCCAGTCTTCAAGGTCCGTTCCAAACATTAACATTTGAAACAAATTACCAGGTTCTGTTAAAAACAATTCCCCTAATGAATTTCAGCAAGTACATTAGAAAAAATGTAAAATGTGAAACTTTATGCTTTTGTACCTGATTGAATCTTTGAATCACATACTGCTGTTAACGTTATACTTCTATTGAACTGACAAGTATAGTTTACAATAGATCCTGATACGATCAACTCAGGTATCACTGTTAACATACTGGTTATATTTGGGGGTGGACCACAGGAATCTGAAAGAGAAGGTTAGCATTTATAACATACTCTATCCATAGACCCAATATGTCTACACACTCTGTGAATATTTTTTATTAAACAATTGTACATATACATGTATGTGCTAAAAACATCATTGTGAAAAGGGGATGCGATCACGCTTTCACCTCAATTATCCAATTGATAAAGTAAATAGTGAACGCATATTTACCATTGGTGTTTTGAAACACAACAGTGAGTTATATGATATTATCTGATGAGTTCAAAATCACGCGAATTCGAGAATGCTTGATAATCAATACAGACAATTGGTAACTACATCATGACATCTTGTTGAAGATATATTCAGTTTGTAATCTATACAAAAGGATCTCGCCAATATTTACAGTAACAATCCAACCGTTACATAATATTTAATAATTGATTACCAATGAAAATAAAAGAGATTAGAAAATGATTGTAATAGTTATAATGATTGTGTAATACAAAATATCAAAATCAAATCAATGTTCCAGTATTCACTGGATTAAAGTTATGTATGGTCATTGTTCGGTATATCAATATGAGCAATGTTCAGAAAAATCAATAAATATCACCAATGTTCAGTCAAATCAACATTCAGTTTGATCAATATCATCAATGTTCAGACAAATCAATAATCAGTTTGATCGATATCACCAATGTTCAGACAAATCAATAATTAGTTTGATCAATATCACCAATGTTCAGACAAATCAACAATTAGCTTTATAACTATCACCAATGTTCAGACAAATCAACATTCAGCTTGATCAATATCACAAATGTTCAGACAATCAAAGAATATCACCAATGTTCAGACAAATCAATAATCAGTTTGATCAATATCACCAATGTTCAGACAAATCAACATTCAGCTTGATCAATATCACAAATGTTCAGATAAATCAACATTCAGCTTGATCAATATCACAAATGTTCAGATAAATCAATAAATATCACCAATGTTCCGACAAATCAATAATCAGTTTGATCAATATCACCAATGTTCAGACAAATCAATAATCAGTTTGATCAATATCACCAATGTTCAGACAAATCAACATTCAGCTTGATCAATATCACAAATGTTCAGACAAATCAAAAAATATCACCAATGTTCCGACAAATCAATAATCAGTTTGATCAATATCACCAATGTTCCGACAAATCAATAATCAGTTTGATCAATATCACCAATGTTAAGACAAATCAATAATCAGTTTGATCAATATCACCAATGTTCAGACAAATCAACATTCAGACAAATCAAAAAATATCACCAATGTTCAGACAAATCAAAAAATATCACCAATGTTCAGACAAATCAATAATCAGTTTGATCAATATCACCAATGTTTAGACAAATCAATAATCAGTTTGATCAATATCACCAATGTTAAGACAAATCAACAATTAGCTTTATCAATATCACCAATGTTCAGACAAATCAATATTCAGTATGATCAATATCACCAAGGTTCAGATAAATCAATATTCAGTTTGATCAATATCACCAATGTTCAGACAAATCAATATTCAGTTTGATCAATGTAACGTTGTTGTCTTGTATGTTAAGTTGGTGAGTCAGAAAAGACTAGAGAGTTTTTACAACGTTATTTATTAGAGAAAGACATACTGAGAACTTCCTTTTTACAGCGCGCATGCGAGGTACATTAAAGGGAGATAACAAGTAAATACAGTTAAACAGATATCGTTACATCCCCGTTTTCACATAAAAGAAATAAACTTTTAACCTTAAAGACTAAAGACAAAATATAATATTAATAA